AAAGACACTGTTGGCACTAAAATCTAGTTTCCGGCTCTCATCCACTATTTTACACTGCCACCATACTCAGGGGTCACAAATCGACTGGTGTGATTCAAGTTCAATAGAATTTTTAAGTATGTGTCCCTGCTCTGTACTTAATACTAGGCTAAATGATGTGTGAAATACAAATTCACATAACTCCAGTCCTTTCTCTAAAGCCTCACATCAAAAAGACAAAACACACTTGAAGCCTTCAGCAGTGAAGGTAGTAACAAACTATGTGAGCGTGAGTTCTACCGGACCCCCAGTGTCGGAAGTCAGATCCTCTCCAGCTGTGAAGTAGCCGCAGGGAAACGTATACACAGTACATCCAGGAAACATTTAAACCTGGGGCTCAAAAGAACATACTGCCCCTCCCAGAACCTTGAAGCACTAAGGCACTACTGTAGTGCATAGAAAGCATACCCAAGCATACCCGTCACTCGTGTGACCTTGGATGCCATAGCTGACAGGCTGCCACTTTCAGAGGAACGTCTTGCAGGTGGAGTTTCCATCTGGACCACTGGCTGAATGGGCAAGTTCTTTTTCAATGTCTGAGTCTGAGCAAAGCTGGGGCCCCTCGACCCCTGAAACCAATCACTGCTGCCAGTTTTCTCACCTACAAATCATAAGATGGGTGGAAAATGAAAACATATACGAAGAACACTCTGGAGAAACAAAAGAAGCCTAAACCCTGATTTCCCATAGATAGCTTTTACACACACATAACTGGAGGCCAAATCCCTCTAACTGATTTCATGCTTGCTGTATGAGTTTTAATGAATACTGAACTCTTTTCTCCCAAACTCGACTACAACGAGGCAAGAAAAGGCAGCAGTCTGGGGAAACCCTTGCATCCACTCCGGGATTGCGGGAGACGGCAGCAGGGGCAAGGAAAAGGAGACCCGGCAGCAGCACGTGTTGGCTTCTGCAATTCTAGCGCCACCCCACTCACTGAGGACCCCCTCGCCTCCATGTCCGGGGGACGGAGCCGCGGGCACACGGGTGCCTGCCAGGGCCAGGCCCAGCCTCAGACCCCAGGCTCGCTGGCTGCCACCTGCCGCCACCATCGCACACTCGGGCGCCAACCGCTCTCCTCTGGCTGGAATCCGAGGCCCAGGCGCGTCTTTTAAAGGTGGCCCTGAGAGGCCCGCCCCCGGCGCCTGCTGTCCAGTCACCAACGGTCTCCAGGGCCCTAGCCCTGCCGCACCCACGCGCCTGCGCCTGCGTGGTCACCACCCACCCAGTGCCCCGCCCAGGGGGGAGACACTCGATTGGACGCAAATTCGCGG